ACTGTTCAGGTAAATAAAAATGAAAAGCTCAATGTCGTGCTCCGCCTCACCAAAAATGACTACAGTGAAAATGATTGATAACATTCATTTCAAGTGTCAGTGTTGATATGGAACAACTGCAGCTTGTCCGTGTGCGTAGCAGATGTCAGAGTTGGTTCAACTTTGCAAAACTGTTTGGCAATAGCTACCGTAGTGGGACATATGCAAACCTTAAGGCACAAAAAAATTCCACTCCTTGCTTTATACTCGTTAGAATTGAGGGAATATGGACAACAAAACTTGCACAGAGATGATCATAATAGCGTTCTTTAGAGGTTGGTGAGGAGCCTGTGGGATGTTTGTTGGTTAAGATGCTGCACACAATGCAAATGATTGAACCACCACCACCTGCAACAGGACAAAAGACTCTCCCGTAACCTGGGGGAAGGAATCTACACAGACAAGAATAAAAATTTAGAAGTAAAATAATACAGACTGAGCTTTTTCAGTTCTAAATTTTTTAACCATATCAAGCCAAGATATTATACTAATATACTAACATCAATTTACATTAGGGTCAAGAGACTGTCTCTGAAATGCTGATTGTGTTTTGTTTTTTGTTCTGGATTCTGGGAGCAGAAATGTTTTTATTTCTGAAAAATTCACTTGGTTATGTGGTGCCCTACTTTTCATGTGAGAAAAGATTGGATGACCATTGTTTGGTCTTGATTCAGAAGCAGATCTTTGCACTGGATATAAACTTTAACAAGAGTCCTCCATAGGCATCATTAATAAACCCATCTTATGGTGTGAAAAAAAAAATTAAAGGCTAGAAATGATAGAGTCTCACTAATTACAGCTAGGTAGTAAATACAGTTGTCTTAATGAAATTATTGCACACAATGTATATCTGAGCAATCAATTTGATGGTGACAATCTCTATTTACTTTGAGATGGCCTTGCCTAAGTCTCTTAGTACCAAAGGTCCCTGCATTTTGTCAGAAAAATACCTGCTGATGCTGGTTCTACAGAAACCTCCACTTAGATCACACCTCAGCACTTTACAAAAATAAGTTAATAATTTGTCATAGTGTAGTAAGATATATATGCTATACTCTTAGTAGTTTTGAAATGTACCACTGCATTATGCACAATAGGTGAGGTCCCATCAAATACCCTCCACCTGCTCTCCCTCCCCTCCTCACTCTCTCCTCTCCCCTCCTTCTTTTTGGACTATAGTTGTGTTTTATCATTCATATGCATGTGTAGATGACGATATATCTAATCAGCACATTGTACCCCATAATTGCACACAGTTATGATTTAATTAAAAAATTTCATAGAATTATTTCCCCTAGGACTCACACTTTAAAGATAATAATTATACTAAAATACTTAAATTTTTATGAAACCTGGTAGGGTAGTGGAGAGGGTGAATAAAGAGGGGTTGGCAATGGACAAAAAAATACTGTTAGATAGAAGAAATAAGATCTGATGTTCAGTAGCACTAAAGGGTGAGTATTGTTAATGGTAATGTAGTGTATATTTAAAATTAACTTAAAGAGTGATATTAGGATGGTTCCTAACACAAAGAAATGATAATGCTTGAAGTCATAAATGCCACAATCCCTGATTTGATTATAATACATTGTATGTTTGTATTCAAATATCACATGCCCCCCCCAAAGTATTGGTAAATCTATACCAATTAAAATAAAAATTTAAGCAAATAAATAAAATGAGCAATACCCCCAACAATAATTTTTGGTACTGGTGATAAAAGGTAACCTATTTGATCTTCCATGTAATTTTTGAAATAACAAAAATGACAGTGGTTACATTTGTAAATATTTGAAGTGTTTGTAAATCCTACATTCAGGTGGGCCTTCTGTCCTTCTGTAGTATTCCAAGTGTTATTGAAAACAATCCAAATATTATTGACAATAAAAGTTACATCTTCAAATTAACATGCAACATGATAATTATAATAATAATATATAATTATAATGATAATTGTAATAATTATAATCTCATTTACCTTATATTATAATTAAACTTACTGATGTGTTTTTAGAAAAAAACATTCCCATAGTCAATATTCCTCTTAACTATTCCCCAGGAGAGGAGTCTCTTGCAAATTAGCATGTTTGGAATCTTTTAATCACTAGGTCCCCAGTGATGTTAAAATGCATGTAAAATCCCTTGGTTTTCTTGGTGCAATTATTCATCGAGGCAATTGGCACTGGTTCTTTCTCTGGTAAGTAGCTTCTGCTATTATTAGACTGGCTGTAATAGTGAAAAAACAAATCAACTCTGCAGTTGGAGACTAAGAACCACTGATTTGTGTTCAAATAGTGGAGTAAGCTCATTTCTCAGTATTCTACTCCCAAGGTGATACTTCTTGCGTCACTCTCTCTCATAT